TGTTTCCCCAACTCTCATGTACACACTCTTAACCACCATATTCTGTAACAGATGTTCTTCAATAACATGTGTTATCAAAGTCCCGTAGTGGCGGTTGTGCTCAGAATTTCAAGTAAAAATATCTAATATCTGGAAATCAAAGAAGAATCCACTGAGCCAAGATTCTAGCCTCTTAATTTAAGAAAATGACTTTAAAAATGAGATCATCAATTTAAACATGATGAATTCTCGTGTTAAAATAATTCATGCTTCTCAGCCAATTACATAACAAAATTTATTCCTCGGAAAAATATCCCTTCCCTTTCATAGGAATTATTTCCTTGATTTCGAGAGTGGTTATGTGAGGATGCGAGAAGGGAGACTGGTAAAGGAGCAGGAGAGAGATTGACAACAGTGAAATCAAGACTAAATAACACTACAGCTGCCTAAACCCAACTTCCTCCATCCAGAAAACTCTTTTCTGGACCTTTTTATTTAACCCCCACATGCAACCTTTCCTCCTCGAACAGTCACATGAGTTTGATTTATTATCGAGTTGCCTCTTGAGGGAGTACAGTAATTGAGTAAATGAAAGCCAAGTATCTGTGGACCAATTATTCTCTGGGAAACAATAAACTGTCGTTGACGTTTCCCCACAGCCCACATTTTCTACTGTGCAAGAATTTTCAACACTACGAAGTCTGGCTTGGGGCTTGGGAATGTTTCAACCTACTACAGTCTCGCTAGTCTGAGGCATAAGCAAGTCCTCTGATAGGGAATGAAGCTTACAGCGTTTGGAGAAGGATGGAAAGGCAGTCATGATGGCAGAGAGAAGGAAGTCCTGTGATCTAGAAGAGGCATGGGGTATGGTTGAAAAAGGCACACTCATCATTCCTAGTATGTTATGAGGTTAAGATACTCTCCCACTGGTAAGAGTTAAAGAAAACATCCCCTGCTGTTATGATTATGGACATCTGCCTATGTTTACATCAGGCCCAGCTCAAGCTGGAAAATGTCAAGCGAAAAGCATCCAATAAAGCTTAATTATGTTTTCAATTTACTTTCCTTATCCAGTGTGATGGGACTGAGAAGGCACACTGCTTCTTGCGTTACAAGGTTCTTGCTATTGGAAGCACGAATCCAACAGAGACGGAGCACCTTATGTCTGTCCATTCTGAAAATACGTCAGGTAAGGTAGATATTATTCTATGAAGAATGCCCAATGTGAACAGGCCAGAGGTCTGACACTAGATTTGCTCCAACATAAAAGCATCCTACAAGATCATACAGTTAAACGGAAGAAGCCACACACAGTTGGAGAGATCTCAATGTAGCAAAGTCCTGAATGGTCAGTGTGTTGCATGGCTTGGAGCAGAGGAAGAAAACTAAAATGATGTCAGTCTTAACTAATGTAAATAAATCCATAAATGCATTTATTTTAATATTTTGAGGCAAATCACAAGGAATTGGTAGCTATGTTATTTCACTTCTGAATACAACTATTTGACAACCATTAGTCCAGTTTCTGGTTTTCACATGATTCTTTAATTTACTCATCAACTGTGTACTGGCAACTGTATTCCAAGTACTGTTTTAGGTTCAAGGAGTACAGATTAATAAGTCAGATCCCTGACTTATTCTAACAGCTTTCATTCTAGAAATGGGGAGATAGTCAACAAACAAACATGTAAGTAAGAAATTATCAGGTGTTAAAAAGCCATGAAAAAATACATTTGAAAGAGAGTGAATGGGATAATAACCTTAGACTGGGTGGATAGGAAAGTTCTCTTTGAGGAGGTGACATTTGATCTGAGACCTAAATCATCAAAGAAGAAGATAGCCATGTGAAACTCTGGATGAAGAGTGTTCCAAGCAAACTGACAGCATCCAAGATGAACTTGGAGTCTTGAGCTTCTTTTGGAAACTGCAAAAGTCATCAATAGTTTTGAAAAATTTCTTTACCAAGCAAAACTTCAAATACATAGGACATCTTATTCCTGGGAGCATAGATGGAGAAAGTGTTACACTTGGCAGTATATCTTGTTGTGATGCTTTGGGGAAAAAAAGATCATTATTGTTTAGTGTTTTCATCAGCAGCATGTAAAAATGCCAAAGACTATTCCAGCAATCCTGAAAGAAATCTTGTCTACTCCCATGAAATGCTGCCAGCTTCATCAGGACCAGAGCTTTGAACCATGAACAAGGCTTGAACAAACATGAACTTGAACAAGAGGCCTTATTGAGAAATAGGAGTAGAATAACAATTTTTCTATATTACGCAGAAAATCACTGGCATTCTAGAGGCCATATCTTGAAGCACTTGTTTGGCATCTAAACCAATAATTCATGCAAAAAAAATAAAAAGGTAAACTCACACTTGGAAGGCAGAATAGTGGGAGCGAAGAGCACAGACACTGAAGTCAGAGTGATCTAGATTCAAATTCAAACCCACCACTTTCTAGCTATGTAAGCTTGAAAACGTTCTCTGAGCCTCCATTTTCCCGCCTGTAACATGGATATAATAATAACTGCCTCAAAGTGATTGTCAGGACTAAACGAGATAAGGGACATGAAGTCTCTAGCATAGCACCTAAAATATAGCAAAGAAGTTTAATCATAGGTGTTATAACAATGAAACACATAAATAGCACACATATAACCACATTAATGCTCGCTCTACAGCCAAACAGCAACTTCTCATTGAAATGTACTCAGAGCAGAATTTGAATTTTTTTCTATTTTCTGACAAAGAGGCCATCATTTTTTAATGAAAGATAAAAGTGAGAGAGACATAATTTGTATACTCTGTTTATAGTGACAAAATAAATTTTGAATGTAATAAAATTAATTTACCCAAAGTTGTATGAGTATATGTTTATGTATATTTTTTCTAAGACATTCATAGTTTTCACCAGCTTCTCAGAGATATCTATGACCCTCCCCTTGAGAAATAAATTTTAAAACAATTCATCTCTATACCCAGGTAAAGGGATCAAAGAAAGACCATTCGATAATTACATGAGATGGGATGAATGGATGGAAAGAGGTGGAGAAGAGTGGAGTGGAATGAACCAGTATTTACCATATAAAACAAAATAGTAACAGCAAACAATATCAGTCTTTCCATCTTTTTCTTTAAATGATAGCAATAACCCACCCGTTTTCCATTGGTTTTACCCAGAAACTGGGGGATGCCCCTTACACAAAGAGCCAATTGAAAGATTGTGCTGAGCACAGGAGAAACATCGTCTTTTCTGAGGAGCTGGGTGTGCTTCTGCTGTTAGACGTGGGGTCTCTGTTATTGTTATGCTGCCTTTTGGGCCTCAGCTCTCAGGAAGCTCAGGGGTCTATTCTGTATCTTTTTTAGCAACACCTCTACCCCCAGCCTTGACATTCATGGGCTTTCTATCCCTCACTCTGTCCTCTTCCTTATGGTTTTGTACTTTGGTCCTTGTTTTAATGATTCCATTTTATCTGTGTCCTTTATAAGTCACCACAAATTTCCCTTTAAAAGTAAATGTCATGGAAGGAAGGGAGGGAGGGGGGAGGGAGGAGGGAAGGACATCTTAAAAGCATACCTTTTAAATAAGGCCTTATAAAGCTAGTATCCTTAATAGGCTAAAAATCTATGGTTCTTAATTTTCTTAAACCTCAATTAAACTATTTTACAAACCTTAAACAAACAAACAAAACAAGTTTAAATTTTATTTAAAAAATTTCTCTGGTAAATTTTTGTTCTCTGGTAAATTTTTGTTTTCATGTTTCATTTATTTATTTTTTTCCCCCAAAGCCCCAGTAGATAGTTGTGTGTCACAGCTGCACATCCTTCTAGTTGCTGCATGTGGGACGCAGCCTCAGCATGGCCAGAGAAGCAGTGCGTCGGTGCACGCCCAGGATCCGACCCGGGGCTGCCAGCAGCGGAGCACGTGCACTTAACTGTTAAGCCAAGGGGCCGGCCCTCTGGTAAATTTTTGTTCTGGTAAATTTTCTCGTGCTAGTCTCTAAATACCATTAGCACAGTATTCTCTAAGTATGTTCTTTGGGAGGAAAAAGCAGATCTCTCCTCAGCTCTCATTCCCTCATATGTTTGACCCCTTTGTCCGCAACAGTGGTGCTTTACAACCAGTGTCTGCTCCTGCTGTCTCCCCAACCTTCTGTCCTCCACAGTGCGCTTCTCAGAGGGCAGACCACCTGTCCTTCTGCCTCTCTTGACTGGTGTCATTTACCTTCATTTACTCAATTTCATTAGAAACTTTCTCTGTTTCATACAAAAGGGAGTGCTCAGCCATCCAGCTCTGAATCCCTTTATGGAGAACCTCCATGGCCCCAGGCAGCCAGCGTTAGCGTCATGGAAAGTCTCCGTTGTGAGTTTCTGGGGCTTTCCTTACCATCACTGTTTGACACACCATTGCCCCCCGTCAAGGCCCTTCTCCAGGGTCAGCTCTGCACACGGCAGGTGACTAACAAATATTTGCTGAATAACCAGGAAAATTGTTTTCTAAATGATCTTAATTTGTGAGTAGTTTTCTACACCTAGAAAATGAGAACTTTGTGCACAAACCATAAGATCATTTTGTTTACATTCCTAATGAGAACATTCCTAAACTTCCTTCTTGAAATGAAATTACATTCTGTGCATGTTTGATTATGTGTGTGTGTGTGTTCGTAACTATTTAGCTTTCTTGGATTTAGCTGAACAAACCCAAACATGTGTTATGAACGATTTTAATTATTACTCTGCTATCTGTTCAGTCAGGAGTTAAAAGAGCATAAGAAGCCAATTCAACCATGTCCTTCATCATCCTGCCCACTCACACACACAGCCACACACACACACATGTTCATTTCTAAACCACATGCTAGCCCTCAGTTGACCGTTGACTTTTGTGTTTCATAAATGGCACCTTGGTGGGCAACCTCAGCCTAGACATGGCACTTTCTAGTGCTGGTGTGGCAGGTGGCAGGGAGAGAGGCTCAATGCCTTCTCTCGCTCTCACTTACACATAGTAGGATGGCATTACCTCTCTGGATCCTGATCGCGATCCTCCAGATGCCCACTCCCAAAACGATGGCGGTCAGCAGCCCACACACAATGGCCACCAGCACCTTGGGGTCATACGTGCGGCAGGAAGCCATGGGGAAGCCAAACCACAGATCCACTCGGGGGTGAAAAATAACTAGCTTCTCTTCTTCTTGAGCCAAGAAGTTTAATCAGAAACTACTCCAAAAAATAAAAATAATTCCTCCTTTCAGTGATCAGGCGGTTGTCCTCATTGTTTAGGATTATTGAGGCTAATCAGGCAGGATGAAGTTCAAATCACCTAATAAAACGTGCATACTCTGCTTGCAGTTTCCCCATCCTTCACTGAATGAAAACACGAAAAAAGTGATTGGAGTTATGGGAATAGGAAGATAACGCAGGGCAATAAAGAAGAAGGGGAGGGCACAGCCAATGGGGTCAAAGTATAACTGTCTAGACAGCAAGAAAATGGAGAAGGGAACAAAAAAGAAGAAACCAGAGAGGAAATCAGGAAGGCAGTGGACCGGGTAGTCGCCTGGGGCTTCCTGTGCTTCGTTGGAGGGCTCTGGCAGAGGTGGACCAATAGGCACTCAGGCCACAGACTCCCTCTTGGGGCACTGGAGTGGGTTGTCAGGGAGAGATTGACAGTGACGCCCACACACGATTCCAGTGCTGGCACTTCTTTAAGGAGCTCAGTTGTTTTTTCCGGGAGGAGGGGGGGAAAAAGATGGGCCCTGAGCTAACATCTGCCAATCCTCCTCCTTTTGCTGAGGAAGACTGGCCCTGGGCTAACATCTGTCCCCATCTTCCTCCACTTTATATGGGACACTGCCACAGCATGGGCTGACAAGCGGTGCGTCGGTGCGCGCCGGGATCCGAGCTGGCGACCCCCGCGCTGCTGCAGCAGAGCGCATGCAGTTAACCGCTTGCGCCACCGGCCGGCCCCTAAGGAGCTCAGTTTTGACAGCTGCAGTGGGCCAGTGGCCATTACCGGCACAGGCGAATGTTGAAAGCACTGAAGCCCAGCACTGCAGCCATCAGCCGGGGCTGAATTTTGTCCCCTAAAAATTCATATGTTGAAATCGGAACCTCTGGTACCTCGAATGTGACTTTATTTGGAGATAGGGTCATTACAGAGGTAATCAAGTTAAAATGAGGTCATGGGAGTGGGCCTTCATCTAATATGACTGGTGTTTTTCTCAGAACCGGAAATTTGGAAACGGGCATGTGTAGAGGGAAGGCAAAGTGAAGAGGCACAGGGAGAAGATGGTGGTCTATAAGCCAAAGAAAGAGGCCTGGGACAGATCCTTCCTTCACAGCCCTCAGGAGGAGCCAGCGCTGCCGACCCCTTGATTCTGGGCTTCCCGCCTCCAGAACTGTGAGACAGTGAGTTTCTGTTGTGTAAGCCACTCAGTTGTAGCAGTTGGTTACGGCAGCCCTGGCAAACCATTCCACCATCTGTCACGGTAACGGGTGTCTCTGCACCTGCAGCTCTGACTCTCTCCTGCCCGGGGACCCACGTTCTTCCATATCCCTTCTCCGTCCTCAACTGAATGAATGAATAAACGAACGAATGAATGAATGAATATTCATCTCCTCAGTCAGAGTTCTGCTCCTCGGGAATCAGGAAAGGTTTTATAAAAGAGGACACATTTAAGCTGACTTTTTCCATCCCCCAACAACTATATATTTTCCTCTATTCTCTGTAATACTCACTTTATCAAGGTACAGCTTTAAGGGACATGAACACTCTAACCTTTACCCCACCCGAGGGTTTCGGAAAAACACTTGGATGTACCCCAAAATGGAAGAACTTAGAGGTAATGCTGTGGAAGCTCAAAATAAAAATACATGAATCTATTATCTCGTTTACTGTGAATAGATTAAAAGATGTCTGTTTCTGATATGTCTGCATGTATATGCACAGAAAATGTCAAGAAGTGTACATTAAAACATTCCTCTCGTTGGGGCCTCCCAGTGGCGCAAGCAGTTAAGTGCGCCCACTCCGTTGCCGCATCCTGGGGTTCGCTGGTCCGGATCCCGGGCGCGCACCAAGGCACCACTTGTCAAGCCATGCTGTGGCGGTGTCCCATATAAAGTGGAGGAAGATGGGCACGGATGTTAGCCCAGGGCCAGTCTTCTTCAGCAAAAAGAGGAGGATTGGCAGATGTTAGCTCAGGGCTGATCTTCCTCACAAAAAGAAAAAAAATCCTCTCTGGAATCTGAGAGATCTAATGAGAAACTCATTTTTCATTCTACACCTCTTTTATGATTTGACGTTTTCACCTTACGCATTTATTAGTCTGAGCCAGGTGTTCCAGAGCTTCATGGAAGGAAAACCGTCATCATTTTATGAAAAGTAACTCACTTAACACTAATAGAAGTTTTTGCCTATAAAACTAAAATATGCGTCCATGGCAGATGCTGGACTCTGATTAATGTAATCCTGAATTAACCTCTCTGTTCTCCAGAAGATAAAAGAAAAGGATCCCTCAAATTCTTCTTTTTTAACTTTAAATTTACTTCTGCCACTTGCTCCAGAGAACCTCAGTTCCTCTCTTCATCTCTTCTTTGCTCTTTTTATCTTTCTTTTCTCACTTTCTCCTCTCTTATTTCTTCCTCTTGCATCTCTTGAGTCTGAGCTGATGGGCACAGGTCTATGGTCAAGATTGAAAGAGAAGGGAAATGGTCAACTATGATTAAGTTGAGAGGCATGGTGTAGGAAATAGTTTGATTTTCTTCTTTTCTGTCTAGAAAGCTCAGGTGAAAAGCAAACCCAGAATTTATAGTAACTAAACAAGAGCGTGAGCCTAGAAACATTAGTCCCATGTAAACACTAGTTCTTCTGAAAATAGTATGAAATCATAAGCTTATCTGAGGCAAGATGAGTTGATATTTTCAATGTCCTGCATAAAATAGCACTATTGTTTGTACTAAGGTACAATAATAATAATTACAAGCTAATATTCTGGATCCTAAATCTCTCCTTTTAGTATAATTACTTTACAGAAATCGTTGGTGCAAATATCAGTTATCAATTGTTGCGTAACAGACCACTCCAAAACTTAGTGACTTAACCGTCAATTATTTGCTCATGATCGTATAATTTGGGCAGGACTCGGCAGGGATGGCTTTGCTCCACATGTTCATTTAATCACGTCATCTGGAAGTTTGAACAGAGCTTCAAGGATCCAAGATGGCCTTTCTCACATGTCTGGGGTCTCAGCTGAGATGACTGGAAAGGCCAAGTTGGCTGGACCTCTCTACCTCATGGTCTCTTCTCTTCCAGGGCCTCCTCCTCCTCCTTGAAGCCTTCCCAACAGAATAGCCTTGTCTTCTTCACATGGAGGCCTGGTTCCAAGATAGCAGCAGTGTGAGTTGCAAGACTTCTTAAGGTCTAGGATCATAACTTTCCCAGTGCCCACTTTTACCACATTCTATTGGTCAAAGAAAAGTCACAAGGCCAGTCCAGATACAATATTGGAGGGGGCTACCGAAAGGCATGAATTCAAGGAGGCAGAATTCACTGGGGGCTATGATGTTTAAATTTTGTGTCAACTTGGCTAGGCCATGGCACCCAGTTATTGGTCAAACATTATTCTAGATGTTTCTGTGAAGGTGTTTTTTGGATGACATTAATATTTAAATCTGTAGACTTTGAGTGAAGTAGATTATCCTCATCCAAGCAGTTGAAGACCTTAATAGAAAAAGACTGACCTCCACCGAAGAAGAGGGAATTCTACCAGCAGATTGCCTTTGGACTCGAACTGCAGCATCAACTCTTCCCAGCCAGCCTTCCCACGCAGCCTTCTTAAGAGCCGACCCTGCAGGTTTTGGACTTGCCAGCCTCCATAATCACATGAGCCAATTCTTTGAAATAAATCAATCTCCCTCTCTTTCTCTCTCTCTCTACATATATATATGTGTGGGGAGGGAGGGTTTTTTTTTTTTTTTTCTGTTTCTGGAGGACCCTGACTAAATACAGAGGCCATTTTGCAACAAGTATTGTGCATTTTCCAGGCAAAGCTCATTATCAGAAACCTAATCAGAAAGCTTCATAATGGTGTATGGTACTCAAGGAGTTTCTGGTCTAGTTAGAGAGCAGGCATATAAAAAGCTAGAGCACATCGAAAATAACAATGCAGAAGTCACTAGGTGATAAATAATTTACTCCACAAGTGTCTACTCTACCTGCCTGAGGAATGTTGGAATGTAAAAAGACCAGTTCAGGAAACTTGCCAGCCCGGGTGGGGCCATAAGACAGCCAGAAATATGTAACCAAGCCAAGCGTCAGCATGTTTCTCCGTGGGGATAACACATTTATGTTTAAAATTTATAACATAAAATTTGTTTCTCTCCCATAGAACTTGGGAGAGGAAATATCTTTGATCCTGGCGTTAGCCATATTCCCTTCAGCATACCATTTTCCAGCTCAAACACAGGACTTATTTTGAAGTCTAAGACATTAAACCTAAACTAATGTTAACGTAATGGATATATACGTTTTTTACGGCTGCTGTAACAAAGTACCACAAACTGAGTGGCTTAAACAACAGAAATTTATTGTCTCGCAGTTCTGGAGGCTGCGCGTCTAAGATCAAGGGGTCAGTAGGGCCGTGCGCCCTCTGAAGGTGCTGGGGAGGAGGCGTCCAGCCCTCTCTCTCAGCTTCTGGTGGTTTGCAGGTATCTTTGGCATTCCTTACCTTGCAGACACATCCCCCTGATCTGTGCCTTCATGTTCACATGGCATTCTCCCTGTGGGCGGGTCTGTGTCCAAATTTCCCCTTTTTATAAGGAGACCAGTAGTACTGGATAGTGGCCCACCGTACTCCAGTATGACCTCATCTTAAGGTCATATTTAAGTTAATTCATGACATTTCCAAATAAAGTCACATTCTGAGGTACTGGAGGTTAGGACATCAATGTATGAATTTTGGGGGGACACAATTCAACTGATAACAATGGGTTACAGTACTAATAAGTTAAAGCCTAAGATTTTTTTTAAATAACCCAAACTCTACCTCTAACAGTGTTTGTGGTCTGGCTTGTGATTTGGATTGAGGAAGACTCTTTTAGGATGTGAACATAGTCCTTTCACTTGAGTTGTGTTTCCACGCTCTGCCACTAGAGGGCTGCATCATTGCTGTTGTCC